ATAAATGGATTTCATAGGTCTTATTCTAATTAACATGATAATCTAATGCTAGATATGACTGGGATGCTACAACAGCAACTAATTCTCAATTAGCATATGTTCACTTAATATAAATTTGTGCATCGCACCGTGCATCGCACGGGTGAAAGACTAGTATATAACAAATAATAACGTAACAGTTATTAATAAAACGAAACTGTCTCACTAGTTGTTGGACAGTCTTTACAAAGTAACAATCCATTGAACCTATCAATCCAAACACAAGACGAAACAAATACGAACATAACATAGAAAGTTCAAAGAGCTAAGGTCCTATCCATTCTGCAGTCGAAGGGCTAAAAGCACCAAGTACATTATTCTTTATAGTACAACACAGCGTAAAAACCCAGATATACTAGCTGAACTTATATATAATAACTAGAATATTTAACCTCGACAGTCTCTTGAGCTCTACTGCTGGTAAGAAACGGATACTCGGACTCCAATGAGCTTGAGAAAGCGGAATCACAGAGTAGCAAAAAGTGACGGTCTTTAGCTAAATGTAAGTAACATGTATCTTACATATCAGAGAAACTAGAATTCCCTTCTGCCCTGCATTAATATTTTCCTGTAAATTAACATTGAAGGACAATTTTAATCACGTCAACTGCAATAAAAAGAAGATAACAAACCTGATTCAATCAAAGATTCAGCATATATAGAATAAAAAAGACTCTAAAAGTGTGTGTTTGGATTTCAAGAAGAAATTGAATGGTAAATACCTAAGTACATGGTAAATTCACATGTCTTGGCAAAGAACTTTAATAGTAAAGAGATCCTGCCAAAAAGGAAAAAAGAAGTTAAAACAGGAGAAGTCTGGCGACCATAATTGAGCCATGCACCAGTCCAAAACCAAAGAAACGCACCCTGCCACCAGTTCCCTCTAGAAGCACTTCCTGGGTCATCTTCTTCCCCATCTTTACCGAACTGATAATAAATAAAAAATATGTTAACACAAAAATGTATCCAGCCTTGTAATAAAAGAAAAAGGACAAGAAAATTGGAGCAGTTTATTTCCTACCTTATTTTCCTTTTTATAAGGATTATTGCAGCGAAATAACATTATGGCAAGAAAGTTTAGTATTTGATTTTAGTAATGGGAAATCTCGGTGACAATATCATGTCAAAGAAGCTTGTAAAAGGCAATAATTCTGATTTTTACTATTTCTAGTCAGATTCATAGTCACTATGAATAACAAAATGGAGTTTGTCATGAATCGGCATTTACACGAGAGATATATCAATTTTAAGGTAACCACGTGATAAATTTGAAAGAAATTACTTGAAATTTCTCTTAATATAGGGCTCATTTACATTCGGCATAAAGAGTACTCACAGTAGTTGGTCCTGGGTTCTGAGTATTCTGGGGACGAGAATAGACATCTTGCCCACCATAGTATATCGACGAGCTGTAGTGAAATGGTTGTACTTTTTCCTCCTGATAACCCGCACTTGGGTCTTTGCTTGGTATGCTCTGCCTCTGACCTTCACCACTCCGAGAGTTATTGCCTGGAAAACAAGCATGAAGTTAGTACAAATCGAAAATTATACTTCAAAAAAAGAAGGGGAAAAACACACTTACACAAACCAACAGTAATGGTTACCAAATTTCAAAAACTACGTCAAATTCCTTATATGGGTGAAGCTTCTTGTACTGTTTTTCCAAATCTTCCATATCGGCTTAGTTAAGGGAAAAATTTTTGATTTTCAAAATCCGAAATGGATCATGGATGATTTTTGGTCAAGTGAATAAGACGAGACAACAAAAAA